CAATTGAAGAAGATGCTTTCAGAGTAGACTTGGGGAGAGGAAGACGGTGTAGGGCAGCCTAGTGCACACGCCTCCTAACCGGGAAGCAGTGATCTAGGGAAGGGAGCATCCACCAGAAGGCTTGGTTCTAGGGGCTAGCTGGGTGTTGACATCAAGTTCCTGGGCCAGGCCACAGAGTGCCATCCTGTGGTCAGTGCAGAGGCCTGGTCCTGGGGCCTCAGCCCTCACTTGGCTTCCTGGCATGGGTGTGGCTTTTGGATGCTGATGATAAGTCGTGCCACCCACCACCTGATCATGAGCCAGCACACTCTGCTTCTGACTTTCTTCCCATGCCTCCAAAGGAGGGCATGTGTTCTGTCTGGTCAGTTCTGCAAAGCAACAGGCATTAGAGCAGAAATTAGGGCAGGGCGGGCACAGGCAGGGAAGAAAGAGGTGAGGGCCATAGTGAGGGTGGCAGCCAGACCTGTGTGACAGGCACTGACCAGGGTGGGCTGGAATCTGAGTCATGGAAATAAAGGGCCTGTAATGAGGAGGGGCACGGAACAGCCTCTGGGTGGGCTTCCTAGCTTCAGAGGAAAGGGCTGGCCTGGGGTGTTTAGGCTGCTGCCATCTCACCAGTTTTCCTGGCAGGGAACCTCCCTTTTGGAAGCAGAGGAGAGCCCGAGAGAAGGATAAAAGTTTAAAAAACTCCAGGTGATGCTCAGGAATTATCCCTGAGCTGGATCTCTCTGTGCCTCTCCCAGATCATAAGGAATCACAGGATCAGGAGCGTGACATGAGGGCTGGGTTGTGGCCCAGTGGTAGAGCACTCACCTAGAACGTGAGGGACCCTGGTTCGATCCTCATAACCACATAAAAATAATAAGTGAAATAAAGGAATTGTGTCCAACAAAACTAAAAAAATAAATATTAAAAAAAAAAAAAGAACGTAACATGATAATATGGAGGAAGTCCCCAGCCCCACCCCTGGGCTCTTCCCAGGTGGGAATCATGTATCCTTGGAGCTGTGCCAGTCTAGATCCCAGTGCATTCTGGTTCAGGGTCCTGGTGAGCAAAGGATGAGGGAGGAGTATCTGGGAGTGTGTCTGTCCCTGATAAGCTGTGGGTCTATCTGTATACCTGCCCATAAGAGGTAGGTGTTTCCTAATCTATTTCAGAGCCTTTTAGTGGTCCTGAACAAGGGACTGATGGGTTATATGGGTCTTCTCATCAAGGTTTAGGAAGTAAATGCATAGCTTTTTTTTTCTCCAACATTTTCTTAGAGCATGTGTCTTATACTTGAGGCAGGCTGACTTTGGATTCAGACCAGGGTGCAAAGTCTGGCTCTCTGAATCTATATATCCCTGCAATGAAGGAAAGCCCATCCTTTTTATAGGATTATCAGTGAGGATTCAGTGACATAGTATATGTAAAATGATAATAGCTACTGTGTACGGACCAACCCCTACATATCAGGCACTTTTCCCAAAATTATGTGTAATTGTAATGTACCAATTTTTAAAAGAGGAAAAAAAATTAAAATAAGTTACTTATAAAAAATTCCTATAAAATGCTTATATTGGGGCTGGGGTTGTAGCTTAATGGTAGAGCGTTTGCCTCGCATCGAGAGGCCCTGGGTTCAATCCTCAGCACCACATAAAAATACACAAATAAAAATAAAGATATTATGTCCATCTACAATAAAAAATTTTAAAAAATGCTTATATTAATACACATTTAACTTCTCACTGATTTTCACATACAATGTATCCTGTGGCACCTGGCACATTGTAAGTGCTCAAGAAATATTTGTCCCCTCCCTTCCCACCTCTCCCCACCACCACCCTGTTCCTACCTCCCCTGGGATGAGGGAGACCCTGGGACAGGAAGACTGCAGACGCTGCCCCAGAGCAGCTTCCGTGGATGAGGTCCTCAGGTGGGACCAGCCTGCTTCCTCCCCTCAGGGCCTCCCTCCTTCACTCCTCATGTCCTGCCTGGCAGATGCTGACACTCTGCCAGGTGTGCTCCAAATGCTACCAACTCTCCCTGAGCAGAGGCTCTGGGTCCAGAGAAGAGGACGGGCAGGGCAGGGCCGGGCACACCAGTCTGCCCCACTGAGCAGCGCAGGCCCCTCCCTCACAGCCGGAGGCCAGAGTCAACTGGAGGCCAGTTCTGTCTGCACTGCACCAGCCTGAAGGCCTGGCCCACCGCTTCTCTCTCCCACCATGCTTAGCTTCCTGCGCCTCACCAGATTCCCCTCCCTTCTGGGAGGGAGGCTCAGGGGTGGGCTCCTTCTATCTTCCCACACAGTGTACTCTCTAACCCACACAGGGCTACCTCCTTCCCCTCATAGGCGGGGAATGTATCTCTTCTTTAGCACCCTGGGAAAGCTTCTAAGACTGAGGGATTCTCTGGACCAAATTGGAGGAAATTAGAGTGTCTGGCCGTTGTGGATGGTTGGGGGCTTTAGGGAAGCAGATTGCTGTCTCTGGCAGCTCCTTGTTTCCAGAACTTGCTAGTGAGCCTCTGCAGGTTGGCTTGTCAGGAAGTGTGAGGTCCTGTGAAGCTCTGTGGGTATGGAGGCCAGAGGGGGCCTTTTTTGCCCTGTTCCTTGGGATATGATATAGTGAACTCTGAAAGGGACAGAGTTAAAGAAAAGGTGAATCTTTCCTGAAGATGGAACTAGTATTCCCTGTCCCTAGAGATGCCTGCATTTTAAAGGGCCTGAGAGAGTTCGCATAGGAGAGAGTATCTTGTCATCCCCTAGGTTTGCAAAATGCCAGAATTGGGGAATGAGGACATACCTTACCCAAAATGCCCCCAAGGCAAATGACTAATCCTGACCTGACCAGAGGTAGTGACTCCCAGGCTAAAGTGGCGTGAGCACTGCCAGATTATTCTTTGGCAGTTGCCTAATAAGGTTAGGGGCCAGGCAAGCTCAGCAGTTGCAAAGAGCTCATTTTCTAGAGAGCTCACAGAGAAGCATGGCCACCCTGACGTGTTGCCTAATTACAACAGAACTTCTATAGAGCTCCCACCTCAAACCTGGGGGCCCAACCACACACTTTGTGCCCACATCTGGATATTTGATCTACTGTTTGTGTCTCTAGATCAACCTGGAGCATACAAACCTCGTTATTTTCCACAGTTTTGTTTTTGTTTTGGTTTGGTTTTTGATACTGGGACTTGAACTCAGGGGCACTCTACCAGTGAGCTTTTTATTTTTTATTTTGAGACAGGGTCTTGCTAACTTGCCTGGGCTGGCCTCCAACTTACGGTCCTCCTGCCTAAGCCTTCAGAGTCCGTGGGATTACAGGCAGGCACCACTGTGCCTACCTCACATGTGTTCTTTAGCCTGGTGTATTCTAAACTTATGTGCCCTTTTCCATTGGTGGCCTGTGTGAGTAGAAAAATCTCTCCCCTTTGGTATCCTGAGGAGAGGTTCAAAGTAAGGAATTCACCCTTCTTGTTTTCCAGAGACTCAGGACACATGTGCTAATGGTTATAACCCAGCTAATGGCTATTGTTAAAGAGTCTGCCTTGGAATTTTCCATTCTTTTGAGTGTGGGAGGGGGGTTCCTGGCAAGAACAGATGACAGGCCACATGGATCTTATTGCCCTTCTGCTTTCTAATATAACAGAAGTTCATTCGCGTCAAATTAAACTTTCTCCCATCGCTTGAGTGCCCTATACTGGACACTGGGCGTCTTTCCAAGATTTTGAAGCACTAATTTTTGATCAGTAATCCCATTTATTACTTTTTTAAGATGATGTGAAGAGGTAGGACTGATTCTCCTTTCAATTAAAAATAGGAGGAACTAGTCTTAAGAAGGCTAAGTGATTTGCCCAGAGGATGACTGAGGAGAAGATGGTAAATCTAGTTCTGAATCTGCTACTGGTCATCCAGCAACAGCAACAAAATGTGAACTGAATGCCCAATCTGTGCGGGTTCTCTCCCAGGAACTAGGGACAATGCAGTGAATAAGACAGGTAGAAGTGTCTGTCTTCATGAAGCAAACGCAGTAGCACGTGGAGGTAAAAATCTTCTGTTTCCCAGTTTTTCTATCAGCATTGTACCCGACTTCCTCTGGAAAGGTTAAGGAGTTCTGGTTAAGGATCAAGATGGGTTTCTGGCTGCACAAGCCCCTCCCACTCCTTCCAGCCTTGGAGGAGAAGCTAAATAGGAAGAGAAAACCCTGTAGTACAACCGTCCTCACTTATTGGCAGGGACTATATTCTCAGATACTCAATGGAGGCCTGAAACTTCAGAGAGTACAGGACCCTATATATAACATGGTTTTTTTTCATAAACATACATATCTTTATAAATTAGACACAATAAAAAATTAACAACAATAATAAAATAGAACAATTATAACAGCATACTGCATTAAAGGTATGTGAATGTGGCCTCTCCCCACCCAGTCTCTCTCAAAGTGACTTACTATACTGTATTCACCCTTCTTTCCACTAGGCTTTGGATGAGGAGGGAGTACTGTCTGCCTGATTCAGCCTGAATAAAGGGTAGATGACCTGCTGCCTCAGATTTTTTCAGACCTTGTTCCCCAGGATGCCCTGATGACATTTAAAAAGAAAAGAGAGTGTGATATTAAAACAAACAGACAACTGCTTGCTTAACTCTTTGTAAGGCAGAGCAGTCTTAAAATCTATGCTAGGAGGGGTTACAGGGGCATCTTGCAGGGGTGGGGGCAATAACCTCCATCCCAGAGGAACCTGTGGGGAACAGCATTGGTTGGAATCAACAGGGATTTGGGCCACATGTGATTTTTTTAAAAAATATTTTTTAGTTGTGAATGGATCTTTTATTTCATTTATTTATTTATATGCAATGCTAAGGAGGGAACCCAGGGCCTCACACATGCCAGGCAAATGCTCTACCACTGAGCCACAACTGCAGCCCTGCCACATGTGATTTTGAAGAAAGTAATTTATAAAAGAATCAAATGCTTATCGGATGGTTCTTATGCTTCTTCTTTCAACTTGTAGTAGTGAGGATGTCATCTGTTTATAAGATAGGCTGAACAGAAATCCTCACTACCTCTTGGCAACTAAATTCAAGTCGGTGGAGACTTTTAAATCAGGACCAGGCTTCACGTATTCCGGTGCTGCATTCAGGAAGAGACCCTGAGAGCCTCCATGTTTGAATGGCTATGTGAGGCAATGGCTTCAGCATGGCACGTAGCCAGCCCCTGCCTGAAGCTGAGCACAGGGCTCAGGTCAAACTTCTTCCTACCTTCAGCCTTCAGTACCCTCACTTGCACATACTTTCTCCCCACACCTTAATCAGTTGGGTGAGGGGTAACACTTGTCTTCTTGGTGGGGAAATGCCACCTTCCTCAGATATATTTACTGTGCTGACTTGAGGCCCTCTGGTGCTCTGTCACATGCAGGTGAGCTTGTCCCTCCCAGTGACCTTGCTGGGGCCCCATGCTCTAGCAGAGCTGATAGCTGTCTTATCCCTCCCACACTGGAAAAACCCTACATTCACAGCCTTCAAACTTACTATCTTTCCTTCTCAGAGGTTCTTCTGTCCCCTTTATTAAAAAAAAAAAAAAATCCACCCTGTATTGAAAACTGCCAGTGTTACTCTCTCCTTCCCCACAAAAGCCTCTTGGAGGAGAGATGAGGCTTAGCCCCAAGAACCAAACTTGCTGCCTGACTTATTAATAACTGCCATCGGCTGCCTAATTTCCATAAAGCTGAAGACTGAGTATTGAAAGATTTCTTAAAGGATTTGGGTATCTTCTATCAAGTTGTCTTCCTGGTTGGCAAATGTCTGCCTTGGGAGTGGGGAAGGGCATGGGGTGTGGCAGAGGGTAGCAGACCGGCAAGCCACCCTCCAGACCACTTGGGCCTGATCTCCTTTTTCTGACCTCTTCTCACCTCTTAAGTTTCTAAAGAATCCTGTAGTGGGTCCCTCAAATAGGGAAAGCATTAGAGTCATTAGAGGTCATAACCTTTTATTTCCAAGTCTTTAAACTTGTAGGGTTTGTATGGCTTGGCTTAGGGGACTGAGACCTACAGGCTGGGGTGTATCTGACATAACTTCTCTACAAGCTTACAAGCTGCTGGGCCCTTCCAAGAAACAGGGCCTCCCCTGAAGCAGTTCCATCTGTTCAGGCCTCAGCTATCAGTTCAGCTCAGACCTTCACTGTCACCTAAACCCTGTGCTAGAGTGGGTACAGTCTGCCCTCGCAGATACTGGATCCTCTTGGCTGTTCTAATTGTTTCTTTTTTGTCTATCTTGCCTCTATTCCAGAGATCCAGCTGTCATCGGTATCCAGGGAGCCCTCCTCTTCCTCCTCCTGCTGACACTCTACCATCGCAGTTGCCGGTTGTTGCTAAGGTTGCCTCCATGGTAACACGTATATCCTGTTTACACCTTCATCTGGGCAAGTCAGTCTAAACTAGGAACCTACCTACTCTGGACAACCACTTCCATCACCACCCAGGGGACACCAATCATCGTGACACAAGGTCCCCCTTCTACTCAGTTCCCCCATCCTCTTCCTCCTTTCACTGCCAGGCTTCATACAAAAGAAAGGATCTTGGTTTGGGGTTGCTACCCTGAAGCTTACTGCACAAGATATAGTCAATCTCTATTCTCACTGGGCCCCCAGAGAAGCAAGAAGCAGGAAGAAGTGGGGACAAGAAGGCAGGAGGCACTGATTGGTTGAAGGGAAACTCCTCATCTTCTCTGGTTGAAGGGCTGGTAACCGCAAGCAAAATGACGAACCCATTAGAACATAACTTGCCGTCCAACTCAATAGCCGAAAGTCATGAAGGGGACTTTGGCTGCACATTAATGGAATTGAGGAAGCTCATGGAGCTGCGTTCGACTGATGGACTGAACGAGATCAATGTCCACTATGGAGGTGTACAGAATATCTGCAATAGACTGAAAACCTCCCCTGTGGAAGGTAAAGGCCATTTCAGGGGTGGTGGAATTGGAGAAAGTAGCTAATGTCTCACAAAATTGTTTTCCAGCTTCTAGAGAAGGTACATTTCTGGAGACCCCATTGGTATATTTTTGTCTGTGGGAAAAGTGTGGCATCTGAAGCTCTAAAAGGAGGTGAGGCCATGAAGAGCCATTATTTTTTTCCCAAAAAATGATATTTAGGGACTGTGGCATTCTCTGAAAACATTTTTTCCTCATTTTTCTATATCAGTATACAGAAAGGAGGATATTTATCTTATAAATGTTTATGGTATAAATGCTTTTATCAGCTAATAATTATCTAGTCCTTTATTCTATATCAGTCTGATTTTGAAAGAGTTCCAAGATAATCCTTCCTCCACTGATCTTCAAGTGTAAAGGGGAAAGGGCACAAAAAAGCGAATAGTCCATCTACACATTGGGCACTTTGTTGTACACAGAAATGGGATGGCATATTAAAGGTATCCATATTTTTGAATCACCCACTCTTTTCTGTCAGGGAATTATAAATGATTTTTTCCAACCCTGCTTGATACACTAATAATATAATTCTTCTTTATTCTTAAAAGAAAATGAAAAAAATGTAGCTTCATGCATGCCTAGCTCTGCCCAAGTGCCTAGTGCACCATGGTGTTATGAAATTTTGCCTCATCAAAATGTAAAGAACAAAAGGGAACTTGCTTTCTCACTTTGGCTGGGTTGCAGCATCTTTGTAGCAAATTCTTTGTGGGCCCTGTGTGTCAGGCAGTCCATGATTGAGGAACATGAGCTGGAGCAAAGATCCTACCCTTTAGAGGCCTTCAGCCTCTTGTGGTCTCCTATTTCTGAGCTCTCCTCAGAGGTCACATCGTATTTCTGGTGAATTTGAAGAAGAGGTTTTGACTCCTAGCCATCATTGTATTGCAAGTTAGTCACTTGGACTCTAGACTCTGTGTGTGGGGGGGAGTGGGTGCGTGGGTGGGTGCACGCATGCGTGCATGCAAGCTCAGTCTGGGAATGGACTCCAGAGTCTCCTTGTGCATACTAAGCAAGTGCTGTACCACTGAGCTACACCCCCATTGTGACTCTAGACTTTGTGATAAAAAAGAGGCAGAGATTTTTACATAGATATGTGCATATTGCCCATCTCTTGTTTTCTTTGTAAACTAAGAGTGCTTCCCTGCGTGTTCTCTTACTTTTAGAATTCCGTTTCCTATCTCATAAGCTTTGAGTTCAAGTATTAGTTCTACCATTTGAATAGCACAGAACAGTTTACTTAGCCTCCCTGAATCAAACAGATAATACCTAGCCCACCGAGTTTTGGGGATTAAATAATATAATGTATGTATAAGTCCAAATTTATAATAGGTGTTCAATAAATTAGTTGTCTCAGATTAAAACAGAGCCATGTGTCTGGAGGTATTGGCTAGAATATGAGTACCTCTGAAGTGCAATTATCATAGCTGATGAGGTTACTACATGTGTAACTGCAACTTCTTTCTATTTCCTCCACTCACTTTAGGATCACAGAAAGACACCTGGCTTTCATGTGGCTCAGTCTCCGCCTTCTTGCTGGTATCTAATGACTGCCCTTTGGGCACTGCCGGGCTCTTATCAGCTGAATTTCTTTATTTGGTAACTTTTGCTACAGTATTGACCTTAATGAAAGTCTGTACCTAATTATGTTCTCACTGAGATTAGGCAGTGTTTTTACAAACACCCATCAGAATTTAAGCAGGATCTTTCTTTTTCCCTTTCGTAGGCTGTTCTGGTCAGTTGTTTCTCTTACAAAATGGAACTTAGGGTCCAAATAAGCAAATAACCAGACTTTTCTCCAATTTTCCACTTTTCCAAATACTTTCCTAGAGCTGCAACTATTTACTATCCGGTTCTCAGAAAGCTTCCATCCCAAAGGCCAACATATGTTGTACTTTTCTCACAGCATTGGATATCAAATGTTATAAACATAGTTAATGCTTTTGGATTCCTCACCAGTTCCCATTTCAGTCCTATAGCTAAAAGCCACCCCTTCTGGTGGCTGGTGCCTCTCTTGCTATAGACTCTAGTGGTGCCAACTTCTCAGGTCTCCTACCACTGACACAGTTGTCCACTTCCTTGCTCCTGCTTCCTTAGATCACAAATATGTGTCCTGATTTGTTTTCATGTAAGATTTACCATAGGGTTTATTCTACAGCTAAGAAGGCAGGGTATTGGGAACAACCTTTCCATTAGTAATTTTTTAGCCCCTAATTTCAACAGTGACCCCCTGGGATGGGAGACAAAGGATTAGGAACAAAGGACACAGAACAGCTAAGGCACAGGAAACTCTACCCAGGCAAGAGTGATATTGAGCTATTTAGTTGAGCAGGCAGAGAAAAGAATATCAGTATCTGGGTATGCGTCCCCCTTCATCTGATGCTATTAAAAGCCAGCTTATTCACAGAAGACCACACTCAGGTGCCTGACAGCCTAGCATAATTTTGTTACCTATGGGAGATCCTATAGACTAGTAATAGGAAAAAAGAGATTACCTGTGCTTGAATTCTGGTTGGAAACCAATGTAAAGTAAATCTGGAATAATTGGAGCTGGGGGCTAGGATAAATACATGTGGTTCTAGCTACTCAGAATGCAGGGGCAGGAAGATAATTTCAAATTCACAAGTTCAAATCCAGTCTAGGCAACATATAGTAAGACCCCCATCTCAAAAAAAAAAAAAAAAAAAAAAAGAGGCGGGGGAGCCTGAGTGCGAGGCACATACCTGCAATCCCAGCAGCTCCGGAGGCTGAGGCGGATTGGTTCATAGAGTATGGCCCTTTTATTTTTTTTTATTTTTTTGGAATGATTGCATATTTAATATAGACTGACAGTTATTTTTTTGTAAATTTTTTTTTTTTATTATAGCTACTAAGAGGCCCTATAAAACTTGAAATTTCTAACATTTCTGACACTAACATAGTTTTATTAGGCTATATTTACACAATTCTAAAGGCACGTGGGACTTAATTTTAATATTCTCTCTCCTGGCTAAAGTTCTTACTGCCAGGTGATGGAACGGTTTACATTCTCTGGCTCATAGTCTATTAATGTTCTGCCCTCTCATGCTAAAGCAGCAACACAGAGACTCTCAGAAGCATGCAAAATTTTAAATTTTGTTTTGCATTTTAATGATTGGTAAAGTGTGAAATGGTGACCAGATGCTCATGTTAGTACTATGCATGGGCTAGTTGAAGTAGGCATTGCCCCAGTGGCCTAGAGTTGAGTAGATTCAGGAAGACATGGAGGTGCTCAGGCGTCTCAGCCTTCAACAGTAACCAGAAGCAAGGCTGAAAGTGTGAGCAGAAAGAAGAAATTTTAGGGAAGCAAGAAGAGGTAGAGGAGACTTGACAGAAGACATAAGCCTAAATCTAAGTGACTAAAGATTTCAGTCTTTTATTGTTGTTGTTGTTGGTACTGGGGACCTAAACCCAGGGGTGCTTTACCACTGAGCTACATCCCCAGGCCTTTTTTATTTTTTATTTTGAGACAGGGTCTCACTAAGTTGTGGAGGGTATAGCTAAGTTGCCAAGGCTGGCCTTGATCTTGCAAGCCTCCTATCTCATCCTCCTGAGTGGGATTACTAGTGTGCCCGACTGATCCCAACTGAGATTTCAGTCTTTGTGGATATGTATAAATAAAAGCTAAGATATAGGCCTAGGCTTCAACTCCTAAGTAACCTATGCTGTCTTTGGTTTATCAGAAGGAAATATCTGAGCATTTTGCACCAATAGAATACTGTTCAGTGGCAGAGTGCTTGCCTCCTACATGTGAGGCACTGGGTTCAATCCTCAGCACCACATAAAAATAAATAAAACAAAATAAAGATATTGTGTCCATATATAACACTCTCTCTCTCTCTCTCTCTCTCTCTCTCTCTATATATATATATATATATATATATATATATTTTTTTTTTTTTTTTTTTTTTTTAAGAAACCTGTTTGCTTGTTTCTTTACAGAGTCAAATGTTCATCCCCTTCCTGTTATTGTCTCTTCATCCTTCCCCGCCCCTTTGCCACCCCAGCCTCTCCAAGCCCCAAATATCTGAGTAGTTCAGTTGACTTAGGCCAGAAGATAGGCGCTTATCTTCTGCATGGTCCCCAGGGACATGTTCTTTCTTCCCCTTGAACTTTACCATGTTGGTCCTCAGCTTTGCTACCTGATTTAGGAGGAAGAATGATATTTTCTGAAGAGGAGCAAGACCAGCAGTTATGGGGAGGGTCTGGGCCTAGAACAGAAAGAGCAGAGAAGGGCAGTCTTGAATAAGTAGTAAATAGAGTAGATCACTAACGGTGGGGCTTCTTTCATAAGGCTAAAGACGATTCAATTTCTGTTGAATTTGGATGTAGAATATTGGTAGGGGGGTGGGATGTAGCTCAAGGGCAAAGCATTTGCCTCATATCCTCAGGGTTCGATCCCCAGTTCCAAAAAAATATAAGACGAAACAAAAGAATATTGGTAGGACTTTCTATTTTGCATTCCCTTCATACCCTTCTAACGTCTGTTCTCTAAAGTGTGATAACAGTCCTCTGATCCCCTTTCAAGACCGTACAACAAGTATTTAATGCCCACTTGGTGCTGGGGCACAATGGCGAACGTGACAAGTATAGTCCCTCCTTCCACAGAGCTTAGAGAAATTGCACACAAATGAGAGCAATTCCAGAAATATCAGCATAGTGCTACATTGGGGAAGAATAGGGTGTTATGGGAACACAGTATGAAAACCTACACCAAAGGGACTTTGCAGAGAGGAAAGGGCTTTAGAAGCTAGAGATAAAACCCCTGTATCATCTAGGAGTTTCCTAGGGAAACTCCAGCCATGCTCTATGGTAATTGTACCAGTTCCTGAATGTTCCTGGTTCATGATGCATCGTTGCCTTTCATAATTACTGAGTATCTGCTGGTATACTTTGGGGACCTGAGATTCTTTGGGGAGTAGATGGCAGAAGAGGAGAGAATCTGTTTTA